AAAGTGCGGGTATAATAATTTACATGTACAGTGTATTCATCAAATTGAGTATGAAATTCTCCCTATGACCTATAACTCTGAACCTCTTATATTTATTTTACATGCTTAATTCATTATATACCAATTTGAATTCTATTAATGATGTAAATTAGATTTTGATAAATGTTTTGCTCATAATTGCTGAGGACCTTTTCAAATTTACTAACCCCCCCCCCCCCCCCCTCCTCTCGACATCACAATCACACAGCACATACTTTTTGGAATAGGCTAGATGGAACAGTTTTGTTAAAACATCGTTTGTTATGAATTAATTTAAAATTTGCTCATGTACTATACATGTTAACATGTAAATTTCTACATCACATCACGTTGCGTCACCCATTATCATATTTTTAGATTAAACTCCATTCGGCACACCTCGGCCGATTCCCACTTCATCTGATAAGGTGACGGAATCGACGGCACGAAGGTTTGCTGAATGGAATAGTATTAGCAGTGTCATGCTGCAGTCTGGTGTGCATTGGATTAATATTCATTTTGTGTTTTAATTGGATTATATATTTCATGAAGTTGACAAGACCTATGGAGGTCGGTAAGTACAAGTTTAAGTATAGTGGGGGGTAAAATAAACCCAAACGATTAGGTTAAAGTTCAAAAAGGGTCAAAGATCATCGCATGCCACACTACACGAATTTCATATTGTGAAGTTATCTCCCGTTGTCGATGTGACATTCAGTTACTGCCAATACTGGTGCGGATCCAGAATTTTTTTTCGGGAGTAGGGAGGTGGGTTCACATCTCAGTCAAAAAATTCCAGCCCAGAATTTCCTGACAAGCAGGAGAAAAAAAAACTGAAAACAAATAAACAAAATAAAAACAATGATAGTGGGGTCAATGTTTTCTAAGTTAGGGGGAGGATGTCCAAAGTCATTTTTTATTTGCTTCAGTATATAGTCTTGTTTAAATAACAAAGCAAATTCCATGGGGGGGGGGGGGGGGTCCAATCTCCCTACCCACTCCCTGTCCCTGAAATAGTATATTTTTTTCCATTTGACTAATTATACATATTTTGTTTCTTGTGTTTATATTATGTCTGTATATTTGTCTGCAGAAATTATAACCTTGCCCATAAGTTTTAAGTGGGATGGGCTATACAATTGGCTTCCACATTTTATAGGTTTATTTCTTGTGACAATTAAGACCTTTTATTTGGGTACCATTAATTTTTACCTCTGATCACTTGATCTAGAATACACATTTTTA